CCGTATACTATGAATCCCTATATGGTATATATATAAGCCTTAAACCCTTTTGGGGTTCATGTCGTCCTTAAGGTCTCAACCATGGATTTAGGGTTTAGGGTCTCGGGCTTCTCTAAGGCTAGCCCTTGCAAGCCTTTGAACAAAAACGCGTATACAAGATCCTCGTAGGCCCAAATAAGGGAAACCATAAAATATCTCAAAGGCCTACCGAGCTGCCGCACGTATGAGTTGCGTGGCATCTCTTCACATAACCGTTAACACCCCCAAGATCTTGGGTTGGCTCTTTTGTCCGGGTTCAGGGCTCTTTTCGGGTATAGTTTATATGAGTTTGGGATTTATGTAAAACGGTTGAAGGGGATCAAGTTTTAAAGAGCTTGAGATAGCTTGAGTGTGCGGTACCCCAGCAAGATGCGAAGCGCCTTCCATGTTTGTATCCCACGAACTGCGCATTGGCCTTTGTCAGATACTGCGAAGCTTCTGAACTGCTGCCGAGCGAACAGCCGACACAATGTCGGCAGACTTGGAACCCCTAAACCCTAAACCCTCACAACGACATGAACCCTACAAGGTAAGGTTCACATACCACGTAGGGTTTCAAAGTATAAGGGTATAGGGCCCCTACTTTTAAGGGTGATTTCGTCCTTAAGGAATCCTAAACTGAAGCACATAACCAGGGCTGGTTGAACTTTGTAAGAAAATTCTACCTGAACCCTGGCCCTAACCTTAACCCCCAACAAACCTACATGTTGTGGGCTCCTTATTAAGAGCTCCTTCTGCAGTTTCTTAAATGCAGGCATCGCAGTGGCAAGACCAGTGTCTGTTTTATGAAAAACCAAAATGGTGAATCCAATCCGTGCTGCTCTCCACTAAGGTCCTGACACACTGAAGCCCTCCCTAAACCCCAAGCCCAAAGCCTTATACCCTTAACCCCAAAGCCTGAATCCCTAAAGGCTTGAATGACTGGCAAAGCTGCGCCTAGCAGCGTCCACCTGCACGAGCGAGGCTACGCCGTCCGGAGATCGACACAAACGCGGCACTCTGTGTCAAAGTGGGCGCCATAAGGCACGTAACCGTAAACCCTACATCCTATTCCGGCCATTTTGGGCTTGTTGTTGATGCTTCCGGATCGCAATTTTGGGTGGACGTGACGTCGCCACAAGCATGTATGGCTGGCATGCGTTGATCTCAGAAAAGGAACCACCTCGACTGGCATCTGCAACCCAGAGACTCCACCGTCCCTCAATTGGGGGCAGGGGTTTGGGGTTTAGGGTTCAGGAGTTAGTTGTCTTGAAGGGTTTATTTCCGTCTTACAACTAGGATCCCCGTCGAAAACTCAACATGCACACTCGCCCACCTTCAGAACAGCACCATATGTACACTCACCAAATCCCGAATATACCACGATCATGTCTATATATATATATATTTATTTATTTATTTATATTTATATTTTTATACACAGACACATTTGCGTAAGCATATGTGTGCCTGCGAGTGTGTATATATGTGTGTGAGAGAGAACCTGAATGTATGTATGCATTCATGCATGCAAGTAGGTATGTATGTAATGTAGTATGTCGGCATGTATGCACGTATGTATGTATGTAAGTAGGATGTAGGGTTTGGGGTCTAGGATGGAGGGTTTCGGATCTAGGGTTTGGGTCCCCGACGGAAGGATTTTGGAGTCCCTGGGAAAGCTTCTAGATGAGTTGCCTCCAGCAGCATCAACCTAGGCCTGGCGTGTGCGGCCAGCAAGCTGAGTAGTAGTGTTTCGAAACCCTCATCATCCTCATCGTTGTTCGTTCGTTTCTTTTTTGTGAAACTAAAGTTTATGGTTTTTTGACTTATATGGGGGCGTAAGCGAGACCAAAACAGTTAAGACTAAACCGTCAACCCTAGATCTCCACTCCCCCCCCCTCCCCCGGAGCAAGCCCAAAAGAGCTAAGGCCACATACTCGACATTTCTCGACTACTGCGGCATTCCTCAATATCGAACACCTCCAACTTCGCCTGGGGCCTTCTTGCACTTAGCCGTCCCTTTTTGGGGTCCGACAACGGCCTATAAGGGATCTGTAAGGGTCTTATAACAGGGGTCCCGTAAGTGTCGCATAGAAGTGCCGTGAGGGTTCAGTCAAGACTGTGTAAGAGTTCTACGCGAATTCGTTGTCGGAGGTCCTTGCACTACGACTTAAGGATCCTATTTTCTAGACCCGATATCAATTAGGGGTGCCCGGCGTTCTGAAAACTTCCATACGGGGTTGTAAACGGATCGGCCTGTGGTGG